AATCATTAATTTGAGGTTATTTTAGTAATTTACCACTTTAGTAAGGGTTATGGGGTTATATGAGAATTTTTTTGGTGTTGGAGGTTGGTATTTGAGAGAAAATGTTTTATAAAAATTGGATCCCCATGAACATCTGAATTCAGAGGTTTTAGTGAGGGAAGGAAGTGTGAAATGAAAAATTAGGGATTTTGTCAATCGTTGCCATGTTTCAGCTTAAAACGGTGTCGTATAACAAGAAACTGTTTTCACATTGGTTATCTCAAGAGTTGAGTGGAGTAACAAAGTAGAATGCATATTGAGAAGCTGAAAATGACATTAATGTACAGTGACAAAGCAAAAATCAAGTCTTTAAACAACAAACAGAAGACATTGGAGTTAAGATCTCTTACCAAACGATACAAAATCTTGTAGCCAAAAGAGAGCACAAGACACAAAATATCAGAACAGAGACTAAACTACATACCTACCATTGTTGTTAAAGCTAAAACTAACAGACACAGCTTTGCCAATAATCCTCTCTGAGATCAGATAGGACCATGTTCAAACTGGAAATCTGTTTTTAAAGAAGACAGGTCCACTTGTCGATGACGACGAAGAGTGCACAGTAGATGAGAAGCTGATGTTATCGGAGATTACTTGGATTTTGCATTTGGGCGAGGCTACTTTCTCAAGCAACTGAAATTCGGTTAATTGTATACTCAGATCTTCATCAAATGGAGTATCCCAGTATATTATCACTTGTTCAAGATTTGGCATTGTCTCCACAAAGTACTTGATCAGATCCACCTGCCTATCCATGTCATCATTGTAACTATAGGTTTCTCCAAACTTCAATACCTTTAGCGTCTTCACAGGGCTTGATGATAGGCCAATAGGAGTACCTTCCCAAGGTTTGCACACGCATTTCTCCCTGTCCTCGTCCTCGTCCCAACATCTGTTTGTATCGTTGAAACGGTATGTCTCATCTCCACATTGATTTGTATCTTTGTAATGGAGTCCCTGAAGTATAAAAAAGGAAATGGTTTTTCAGAATTTAAGTGTGTTGTAACAAAGAAAAATGAGTAAACTGATGCGAGAAAAAGATAAGTGCTGGTACTTCGAAGACAAGGGTTTCTAGATTTGGACAATTCTCGAGTAGATTCGGCAATGGTTTCCATCCTACTTCTTGATCAGTCTCAATAGTTAAATGAATCAGGTTCTTGAATACTGGATTTTTTCACAGCAAAAAGTAAGTACCTGAAACAAAAAACAAATCAACTAGATCATTACTCATTCACAATCATCAACTCAACGTCCTTGATGACATGAAACATGGTTCGAAAATAGGCATCAGTCGCAGGTATAATTCATGTAATATACCAAACTGAAACATGTGTATTTGAGGTCTAGGTTGTTTGTCTTCGTTTACTTTCAGAGCAATAAAAATATGAAGATAAAGATGGGATTGCTATGCAAACCTCAAGAGTGTCGGACGATAAGTAAAGGATCTTAACATTGCTAATTCCCAAAAGAAAATCTGCTGCATTTCCATCCATTTCTTTCTCACCACCTACATAACCCCTTGCCCCTTTCTTCTGCATAGGTGTCAATTGAAGACCGAGGCGGGCTTCAACAAGCGAATTAAAATTCACTTTTGGATACTTGATCGCAACCACATCAGTAAATTCTAAGTAGACAAGATTCGGACTATCAAACGATACATTCCGAGGATTCTCATCAATGATTTCAGAACAAATTGTTACTCTCTTGAGTGTTGGGTGAAACAAAGAGCAAAATTCCGAAAGTCCCCACATTAACTTAACCATAACTAACTCCTCAAGCACAGGACATCCCGAAAGTAGCTTGGCAACCTTATCACCAGTCTCTTCGAACACAATATAATCAAGAAGATACAAAGACTTAAGCTTTGGAAGAAAAACATCTTCAATACCAAAAATGGTGAACTCTTCATTACCTCCTCCTAGTTTCAGCCTAACCAACGTTTTGCTCATCAAAACCTTTGGAGGCAGCGGATAGTCACCATTCGAAGAGATGTATATATCAAGATCTAAAACACCACGATCCAACACATTGGCTATCCATAGATCGACACGAGCTGAATCATAACGAGTTTTACACCTTAGAGAGAATTTGTTCAACGGAGCATTCCCTTGCAAAGCCATTGTTCTTTCCACAAAAGCCTTAAAACTAGGACGCATCAAATGGCATTTTCGTGTACCCCTTTTAGGATGGTTATAGACCGAGCTATCAAAGTCTAGATTCGGTACCAAAGCCAACAAAAAACGCCACCTTTTCGAGAGAATTGATGTCAAAGCAGCATCTTTTGTGGAGAGGAAGGACAAAATGTGGCTAACTAGAGCGTCTGGTAGACTGCTGAGTATATCTTTGGAGCCAGTATCCATCTTTTTCGAAGTCATTGGGACAAATCAGAAGTTAAGACCTGGAAAACATTGTGTAAGTAATTCAATCAGAGAATCTCAGAAGCTAAACTCAAAACACAAACAAAGATAATGCTCTCAGTTCAAAAAGGGTTAAGGACAATCTCAAATTGAAAAACAGGTTCAAAGTCTTGTCTTTTACACAATCGTAAGGTTTCACTAAGATTACCAAACCGGGAAAGAAAAGAACAATATCCAAAAAGGTAAAATTGATGGAGAAAAATTGAAAGCAGACATTTTGTGGGTATGAAGAAGAAATGAGGAAACTTACTTGCGCACACGAACCATCTGAATTCAGAGGTTTTACTGAGGAAATGAAAAATTAGGGTATTTGTCAATCGTTGCGACTGGATTTGTCATGTTTTCAGACAATGACCGATTCAAAGCAACACGATTTTCAAGTAATCAATAATTGGAACCAATTGAGTTATGGAGACGAGAATAACCTGAATTGCCGGTGAGAGGGTCTTGTCTGAGCTGGAAGACTCGCTGCGACGGACCTTGTGCCAAGGATTTAGTCGTCGTGCTAGTGTGACTCGTGTGAGTGGAAAATTTGGCTTGTCTATTTGTTTAATTTTTATTTAGGTCCCTGTAATTTTCTATTCCTAGCAAATGAACACCAGAGTTCATAAAATCATAAAATATCACGTGGACTTATTAACGAAGCAAAAACTACAAAAGGTGAATCCAGTATCGAACTGAAAATAAAGGATAAAAATCGAAATTTCAAAACTAGACTAATAAATGATTGAGTTCCTTTTCCTGTCACAGATCTGGAAACAGGTTTGTTGGTAAGGAGACAGGTTTGTGGGTCGATCTGCTTGAGAAGAGGAAGCACAACACAAGGTCTTGTTCAGTCTCCTTATTTCTTCTTCACGGTTCTTCAAGGTCAACACAAGGTACTCTTATTATCCACTTTCTTCTTTCTTATGGTTAGATATTTGATGAGATTCACTACAATGAATCCTACTTCGATTTGTTCTAGACTACGGGGATGATTAAGGACAAGAACTGAATCTCTTCTGTGATAAGTTTTTCTAACCCCAGTGTTAAAAGTATATGTGTTAATCTGTACTAGCTAGGTTGTTCCGTGTGTTTTTTCATTTGATTGATTCCCTGACTTGAGAAATAAGTTTTATCACTTGGTTTTGTTCACATCAAGTCAGTGTGCATTACCATCGACACTAACCTCGTCATTAAACTAGAATCTTATTTAGGTCTAAAATCATGAGCTGCGACAACGTTGTTTTCTTCCATTTGGAGTATGCGGCGAAGAGTAATGCCATTGTGGAGTTTGGTGCGATTGAGGTTTCTGTTGAGACGATGTCGGTGATGAAAACTTACCAGACTCTAATCAAACCAAAAGATTCAATTGTCTCTACCTTCGACGAGCAAAACGGAATCACCCGACAAGCACTAAAAAATGCATCTAAATTCATTGACAACCACAAGATGATCTACAAATCTCTCGACGGTTAGTT